CGTTACCACCCTCCTATGGCCGGGCCCTCCGCAGCGCAGGTACCACTGGCAGGTAGGTGCCATTCCTTGGCCAGCCACCAGAACATCTTGCCCTGGGGCATCAGCACCAGCCAGCTGAGGGCACATGCACAAACCCTCTGCCAGTGAAAGAGGAGAGCCAGTGCTGGCTGCACGACCCATTGGTGCTCCGTGAAGAAAAGGAGTGAGACTGCAGAGGACAGCAGAAAGAGAGAAGTAGAGCTAACAAGGCCGCAGGGACAACCTCTGCCAGGCAGACCACTGCTGAGGCAGCCTCCTCTGTTTGCTTCCAAAGGGCACCCTCCTTCCGTCTGGAGACAGTGATGGGATGAGAGCTCTACTCACCCAACCCCATCTCCCAGCACTCTGCAGGGCTCTTCTCTGTTCCCTGCTACCAGCCTGGGGCAGTGGGTGCTGCCAGGTCCCCAGCTCCTATCCCAGCCCTCCCAGCACCCTGCAGGGACCCCACTCCAAGGGCATCCTCCCTGCACAGTTTGGGGTGACCAGAGTGAGAAGGAAAAGGCTGGCTGCTGACTTCTGGGACAACGGGAGGAAAACAGTGATACAAACCACCACATCCCTCTCCGGCAGGGCCAGGTTGATGCCAGGGAACAGCCATCACTGTGTGAGGGTCCTGGGACATCAAAAAACCTTCATTCCTCTCCCAAGAAAAACCTATCAGCTCCAGAGGGGCTCCCTGTCCCCACCCCCCCCAGGCAGGGTGGTTACCCCCCTGGCTAGCTGTGGTGGGGAGTGGGCATGGGCTCCCAGCCTAGAGCCAGCCTGACCAAAACAGGGCAAGGGAGTGGGGCTGGCAACAGCTTGGGTGCAGGAGGCTGGGCTGGGGCCAGGAGCTCTGGGCAACTCAGTTGTTAAGTTCGGTAAGGATGACCCGCAGCTCCTTAGAAAGAATGCGGTTTTTCTCGGCTTCCTGCTGGGAGCGCTCTAGAGAAAACGGAGACGTCAGCGCAGCAGAGGGAAGAGAAAGAGAAAGGAGAGTTAGTGAAAAGAGACAGCATTCCCCAAAGCCCCTCTGGAAATCCCGCAGCCACCCAGCCAGCAGCAGGGACGAGCTGGACTGGCAGGGGGAGACAGCCAGTTCCAGGGAAGAGACAGGTCTATGGGTCCATCAGTCTGGAAACTGGGTTCTGGGGCAGGGTAGGAAGTTGAGGAAGGAGAAGGATCACGGACGCATTTAGGGATTGCTGCTGAAGGATAGGGTCAGCCCCTTCATCGAGGAAGGGTGATGCAGGAGATGCCTGGGCTGAGATTGCTGCTTGGGAGGGACAGAACGAGGTCTAACCCTGCTATTTCAGGCCAAAATGGAGAAGATGGCAAAAGATGAGGAAAGCCATGTGTGAGAAAGAGGGTGGCAGGCGTCATCCCGTGGGCCAAGGCACACAGAGCCACATCCCACTCAGCCTGGAAGTGCAGGGCCACTCTGGGACTTGGCCACCAGCATCCCGAGGGTCGCATGGCTACAAGCTGCCTCTGATCTCCTCCTGTGACCCCACTGCAGGCACCCACATGAGACATGCATGAGATGAGGGACAGAGTGGCATGAGGAAAACAAAGGAGAAACCAAGGAAATTAATATGCTTTATTCAGTAACTCAGAGGGACAGAACATAAAAGTCATGAAATGCAAACTGAACAGCAATGTGCAAAGGACAGAAGGGAGGCAGGGGTGAGGAACGAACAGGGCAGGTTTGGGAGTGGCCTGCCTGCCTGCCTGGTAAAGGGCTGCCTACATAGCCAGGCCCAAAACTCTATCCCCTGGGCCTAAGCTTTGGCAGTGGAGCTGTGAGTCCTATCCCCCCTGGGCTCAGCAAACAACACCAGGGGGATTTGCTGGCGGGGTATGGGGGGGCAGGTGACCTGCCAGCCCTGGAGCTGTGGGGTTCCCAGTGTTGTGCATCTGGGGAGCTGAGGAGGGAGATGGTGGAGCAAAGGGCTCCTGTCCTCCACAGGGCAATGCTGAGGTACAGACATACAACCACATGGCACTGTGCCCAGCGCATGGGGCTACCAATGGATGCTACCCTGGCCCACAGCATCCACACCTCATCTGCCCCCCAAAGAGGGGTATTGCGGGAACACCTCAGGCCAGCTCCTGTCCCAAAGGAGCTGATGGACAGGCATGGGCTAGGAAGGACAAAGGAGGACAGAGCAGGCAGGACGAGCAGTGGGATGGCCAGGCAGGCAAGTGGCTGAGGTGGGGAGGGGAGAGGCAGGCATGGGGGTACAGTGCTGGTGCCTGGTGGTGGGCTTAGAGGGAGGTGATGTCATTAAGTGCATTGTCCAGCTCCTCGCTGATGGCTTTGTACTTCATCTTCTGAGCATACACTTCATCTGCAGGCAACAAGGCACGTGGGAGGCAGGTGGTAGAGTGGGGTGAGGGGTGGGTGGCAGAGAGAGAGATGGTGGCTGTGAGTGGGGGGCTGAGGGTGGCGGGTGTGCAGGCACTGGCAGCGTGGATGCAGCCCTATTAGCCACCCGAGGGCAGAGCCCAGACCCCAACAGCATTTTGCATCTGTGCCAGACACCACAGCATCCAACTTCTCCCTTCCTGGGACCCCTGCCCACCCTCTCACCCTGGCCAAGCCCTGTCCAGCCCCACTAGGGGCACGCTGTTGCCAGTGCTCCCTAGGAAAGAGGGACACAGGGCCAGTGGGGACATTTTACCTTCTAGATCATCGATGGTTTTCTCCAGCTTCGCCACAGACCTCTCTGCAAACTCTGCCCGGGTCTCAGCCTGTGGGAGCACAGCAGGGAGGGCATAAGCTGCATGGCATGGTAGGGACAGTACAGGCTGCACCATATGCCTGATTTCCCACATCTGCATCTCTAGTACCCTTCTGAGTGAGCCCTCCCCTAAGAAACGCAAAGGACAAGGTATCCATGGACCCCTCCACCCTAAATCAGAGCAGGCTGATGAGGGGGAATTGCAGAGCCAGGCACCTGCCATGCTAAAGGTTTCAATTTGCAGAATGGTGAGAAAACACAGGCATAACAGGGTGAAAACCCACACGAATGGCAAACTTGTGCCTGCAGCAATGCAGTGCTGGCCTCACATCCCTTACCTCCTTCAGTTTTTCCCCTAGAAGCTTGATTTCCTCCTCGTACTTGTCCTCCTTGGTGGAATACTGCAGAGACAGAGACAGGCACCTGTGAGCCCCATGGGACACCTCTGACTGGCCTTCACCCCAGCAGGAGACCCCAGCTCCCCCAGGCCCCACGCACTCTGCCCAGCCCTAGCAGCCCCACCAGGTCCTACCTTGTCAGCCTGGGCCTCCAAGGACTTCAAGTTGTTGGTGACAATTTTCAGCTCCTCCTCTAGGTCACCACATTTACTACATCCCAAGCAGGGGCCGCCAGGAGGGAAAAGCAGGGCCAGGGGTGCAGGATAGAGGTGTGGGCAGAAAGAGCAGGTGTGGGGAAGAGGAGGAAAGAAAGAGAAGAGAACAAGTTGAAAGAGCAGAAAACTCTAGTGCAGGTGGAGAAGGAGCAGAGCCGCTATGAGCGGGAGCTGCCGGGACGCATCCGTTCATCCGTTCCTCGTGCCTCCTTGCACAGGCAGTGCCTCGCTGCTGCCAGCTGGGCTCCCGCTGGCCTCACCAGGAAGGAGAGCAGGCAGGGAAGGATGGAGGAGTGTGCCCAGCCTGTGCCCACCGGAGGGGAGGCGAGGGGAGGTCGGTAGTGGAGGCAGCGGTGCAGAGAGGTGAGAGGTGGGTCGCATGGTTCGAGAAACAGAGACAGAGTGGGAGGTGGGGGCTGCTGCGCGTCGCCTCGCGGCCCTGCCCCGGGTACCTCTTCCTCTGAGGCAATGAGGGATTTGAGACTCTGGTCCATGGTCCGTAGCTCTTCTTCCAGCTGTCTCACTCGGCTGGGGTGGAAGAGGGGCACCCCGCGGGGGGACAGCAGAGAACAGGGTCAAGGATTTGCTACTGGTTGGGTTGGCATCCCCCTGCTCCCAGCCTGCAAGCCCAGGGACCACCCTGATGGCAGACCCTTCTGCTCCCAAGGAGGGTCACTCCTATCCCCAGGCAGACACCTCCATCCCCACAGCTGTCAGGGACTAGGGGCAAGGGCTGTGTGGGACCCCTGTGTGCTGCCCACTGGGAGCCCTGCTCACCTCTCCGCCACCTCTGCCCTCTCCTCTGAGCGCTCCAGCTCTCCCTCAAGGACGACCAGCTTGCGGGCAACCTGTTGACAGCAAAAAGAGGTGTGTGTCAGCCCCATGCCGGCCCCAGATGGGGGCACAGAGCTGTGGGGAGGCAGCCCTGGGTGCTATCATGGCTTCAGAACTGGGGGGCTGAGGGTCTGTGACTGTGGGCACGCACCTCCTCATATTTGCGATCAGCCTCCTCTGCTATGTGCTTGGCCTCCTTCAGCTGCATTTCCTGGAGCTCCATCTTCTCCTCATCCTTCATGGCCCTGTTTTCGATGACCTTCATGCCTCTAAGGAAAGTCCAAACCAGAAGATGTTACTGCTGTGGGTTGAGGAGACACCTGCACTTCCTGCCTGCTCTCTGTCCCATCCACCAGCTCCAGAGACATGGGACATCACCCAGGGATGCTGCCACTCACTGGCCACCTGATGCAGTAGGGTCACACAGGTAATACCCCAAGGATGCTCCTGTGCACAATTAAAGCAGACGAACTGGCCCCAGGACCATGTTTCAGATGGACTAGATGTGGCAGTGGTGCCCCTCAACCAGACAGGTCCTGAACTCATCATCTGGTGGGGGAAAAATGCATGCAGAGGCAGCTGCAACCTCCACCAAAGGAGCCTAACAGGCCTGCAACCTTTATGAAATGCTTTCCATGGCAAAGCCTTTTCCCATTCAGGGATGATGCTTACTGAACCCCCACAAACCCCTGTGGCAGGGACTCCTGCAGACTCTTTCTCTTCTCCCTCAGATGCCATTGCTCAAACTGGTCTTTGCCAATGGAGGGAAGAGCTCACATGACTGTTTGGAATGCTGTGACATGTCTGGGCACTCCTTGCAACTCAAGTATCCTTGCTTGCCTGGCTTCTGCCTGGGAAACCTTGCTGCAAGGATGGGGCAACACACTCTGCAGGACTGTTTTTTTTTAATGAGGCTGGTTTGTTGGCTAAAGATGACCTTGGGTGTCAGGCACAAGTGTCCCCTCCTTGGCTGTTTTCCAGCTCTCAAGTGGAGGAGGCTTTGTTTACAGCCTGGTATTTATGCAAAAAATACCAGATACATTTTTTCAGGATTTTATCGGTGCCCTGAAAATTTCAAAGCCTTTTTAAAAATGCCTGTATCTGGGGGACTTCTCTGTGTTGTGTTCTTGCTCTCTCCCTTTAGGGTCTACGGGAAAACCAAAGCTAACCCCATGAGGTCACTGCAGAGGGACTCCAATGTGAAACCAAGGGGGCTGCCTGCAATCCATGTTGATTGACCCAATGCCCCCCTGCACTGTCCCTTCCAATCATACCTCTCGCTCTCATCAGCTGCTTTCTCAGCCTCCTCCAGCTTCTGCAGAGCAGTGGCCAGGCGCTCCTGGGCTCGGTCCAGCTCCTCCTCCACCAGCTGGATACGGCGGTTCAGAGAAGCCACTTCAGCCTCAGCCTGGGGAAGCAGAAACCCTCGGTCACCCAGTGTTTCATACAGTGTGTATATATACATACATGAAAGCATTTTCATTGGTTACTTCTGCATTTGCTATCCAGAACATCTTTTGGCACCACGCAACAAGCCAGGGCTTGCTGGAATGGGATGCCTGACCATGCACGGATGGAGTTTTCTCCATCCCTAGCTCTTTGTTTGACACTGGCTCCTCCCGGACACACAAGCCCAGCCCAGCATGTGCAGACCCTCCGCCATGTCCTCACACCTCCAGCTCCTGCCCCAGAGGGCGACCAGGAGCATTCAGCAGGTCAGGGTGGCCAGACCAGCCATGCTGTCACGGGGATGGTATTTGGGGTT